AAAAAAACGCTTTTTGTGTGCTTATGAGTTAGGTGCAAGAAAAAGCCGACGAAGTGAACTTGGGGAGCGGTGGGGAGGAGGGGGAGGGGCATCCCTCACCTGTAAAAATTACCGATAGAGCGCAGAGAAAAAAAGGGTGGCCGCTTCTATGTACATACCTATGCTTGGAAGCGTTTCTTAATCAGGGGAAAATAGAGGAAAATAGTTTTACCCGAGCCTTAGAAAAGGAAAAGCACCTGCATAGGTGAGATGATTTCTCCTACGAAAAGTTGAATGGAATAGGAGTTGAACACCCAATTGACTAGGGCACCCCTAAGAAAGGTTCTTTAGCACAATTATATGTAGGTAAGGCTAGCCTTCGTTCATTAGCCCAGTGATGCCCCAGCTCCAACTACATTCTCACCAAGTCTTCTTGGAAGAATCGAATCCTTGTGATCATTACAGATTAAAATTTCTTCACTGTACGATGTCTTTGGGCGAGAAACTGAGCGTCAGACCTTATGTCCGTTCCTTCTCTCATTATAGACAACCAGATAAAAAAAAAAGAAAATACAGGTTCGATGCCTCGATGCTAGGAACTAAACAATGGAAATGAGGTTGCGGAGCCGTTTTCACATTTTTCTGCTTCCTCCTAGCGAAAGAATGCCCCATTGAACTTCATCGATTTCAATTTTTCGTATGAGGTTAGCATCTTCAACCCCGATGCTCCTCCTTTTCTCAAACTTGGGCAGAAACTTTATTCCTGGGCTCCAATATTGTTCCCAAGCGCCAATACGTGCCCAAAAAACCGGCGCCCCCTGTTTCTCTACGCTCTAACCTTTGGCGTTAACGACGCAGAGCGCAGCTGAGTGGTCCCCTTCAACATTTTTACCAAATTAAAGGTATAATAGCAATATTAATAGTGGTAAATATCAATAATGACCGAGTAAGTAAACAAGCATATAAAATAGTTTGCTGAACGACTGGTTGTACACTGGCTACACTCATTTCAAACAATTTATTCGGGTTCGCTAGGGTTTCGAGGTCGATCTCGGTTCATCTAAACGACGTTTTACCAAAAATCATTCACACATACACGCACAGCAACATACATTCACACACAATCGTCGTATACGAGGCAATAAATCATGGCTAAAGCACGAGAGACAAAAGAGGCGACTCGTGTAATTTGAAGTGATTAAATGAGTTAGTAAATGAAAGCAACGGGTTCACAATCACAGGGATTTCCAAGCCCACAAATGGCGGCGATCGATGGGGCCAACATTGGAGGAGGACGACAGTGGACGGAGGGATGGACGGCAGGTCAAATGAGCACTTCTAAGGGACGGCAGGTCAATGTTTCAGGTAGGTGGTTTGTAAGATGAGTCGACGTTGTTTGTAGACGATCAACGACAACGATACGATCAACGCCACCAGTAACGTCAAACAGATCGTGGATGTCATCAGCATTTTGTCTGAAATCATCATTTTCAGCAAACCGATGACTTGGAACGCGAACTCAGAAAAATTTCGAAAGATTTCTAAAAAAGAAAAATGAGATGCGATTCAGAAATACAACATTCATCACGTCACGCACAAGCCGCGGCTATACTTGGCGAACAGCGGCGTTGCGCCGTGGGGTTATGCAGCAAAGTGCCCTCCACGAGCACGGCTCACTAAAACTGAACCCTTGCACGTCCATGCCTACAATATTTACAGACAGTGCCCCTACCCCCGTCTTTATTTGTTATCTCTTTGTCACACCTACTCGAAGGCTTCCTCATATCTCGACAATCCGCAGTTTTCAGTGATTGAAAAGCTAAAATACCCTCCAGCAACCCAAAAATCCCCGAATTTGCACCCACCCCTATCACAAGCACTATAAGTTTGTCCATAGAAGATCCTACTTAAATAATAAGCCTATCCGGTTGAAAACCAGCAAGTACAACCCGTTGACAGAAGGCGTGGGTAAGGAGGCGCCGTGGGCCGCGCGCGCGGTGTCCTACATAGCTCCGTTGACACAGTAGCGTGACTTACTCGTTGTGAAACAGGTCTTCGCCGT